CTCAAAGGCATTAATTCTTCTTCTGTCATCCTTAGTCATTTTCCGGCTCTCTGAAGCATAACAGTTGCGAAGACTGTGACCTGGATTAAGCACCCCTTAGTCTCTAGCTTAACATCTATGTTTTTCAGCACTCTGGAGAGATCCCTGACAGAAGATTTTTTCCCAATGCACTTAGTCTTTTGATTTCCTGACTACTTAAGTCTAGAGTTTTAATTGTGGAGTCAAGCCAACTGTAATTGTTAACAATCTGAATCTCTTCTCCATCTATCATAGTGCTACCAATTGGCTCAATGTTGAGAATTTTGTTTTACTGATGTTAAGTTTCAATCCATATTGAAGACTACAGTCCTTGACCTTCTGCAGTAAACACTTCAGGTAGATGAAGCTTCCTTCAATCTTGATGCCACATTCCTCCTAATAAAGCCCTGATTCCCAAATATCTGTTCTGCATATAGATTGAAAATGTACGGAGACAGGATGCATCTCTACGCACTCTTTTCCTGATTTTGAACCATGTAGTCTTTTCCTCCTCTGTTCTGAGGACTGTTTCCTAGCCAAAGTATAGGTGTCGCATAAGCACAATCAAGTGTGCTGAGATTCCAATTTTCCTCAAGGTTCACCACAATTTATTGTGATCAACATAGTCAAATGCATTTATATAGTCAGTGAAACACAGATAGATATTCCTCTGGCACTCTTTGCTTTCTGCCAAGATCCATCTGACATTAGGGATAATGTCTACTGCCATGGCCTCTTCTAAACTCAGCTTATATTTCTGGTAGTTCTCTATTAATGTACTGTTCCAGTCATTTCTGGATAATATTCAGCAGGATTTTGCTAGTGTGTGATATTAGTAATGTTGTTCAATCAATAACATCCACACTTTGTCGGGTCACCTTTTTTGATAATGGGAATAAATATAGATCTCTTCTACTCAGTTGGCCAAGTAATTGTCCTCCAGATTTCTTTGCACAACTTGGTGAGCACACCTACGGCAGCATCTGTTTGTTGAAATACGTCAATTGGTATTCCATCAATTCCTGGGCTTTTATTTTTTGTCAAATTCCTCAGAACAGTCTGTACTTCCTCCTTCATCATCATTGCCTCATTATCATATGTTGTTTCTTGAAAGCCTTCTGTGTCAGCCACTTGTTTTGAGTACAATGACTCTTTATACTCCTTCAATCTTCTTTTAATGCTTCCTGCATTGTTCAATATTCTGCACATTGCATCTTTAAACATTGTAACTCTTGGTTTGAATTAAGAAATGCTGAGTGTGTTCTTTCGGCCCTTTTGATTTTCCCACTCCAGCTCCTTGCATATTTCATTATAATACTTTGCCTTGTCTTCCCAAGTTGTCCTTTGAAATCTTCTATTCAGCTCCTTTACTTCTTGCTTTCTTTTCTTTGCTTTATCTATCAGTGCTCTAGTGTAATATTCAGAGTCTCTTCTGACATCCATTTTGAGCTTTTCTTCTTCCTTCTTTGTAATGACTTTTTGCATTCTTCAAGAATTATATTCTTCCTATCCTCTCACAGCTCATCTGGTCTTTGTTCATAAGTGTTCAAGACCTCAAACCTATTCCTGAGTTAGTTTTTAAACTCAGGTGGTATAGACTCAAGATCAATAATATCTATAGTACAAAATTAATTCCTATAAGGTCAGACATGGTGTCTAATACTGCTGCACCTACTTCTTCAATTTCAACACCAATTTTACTGCACTACTGGATCCCATATATGCTACAATGACCACAATGATCTCATAGAATTATACTCATGATTATGAGGTTTATTAGGAAATTAACCGGTTACAATCCATGTTGGTTGCAGGATAAAATTCGTCAGTCCAGACAGCTTCTCAAGTGTGCTCAATAAAGCTTTTGATCTTTAGCGTCACAGCTTAGGTCAGTGTAACAAATTGAAGAGGTATCTGCCAAGTTTGTAGGCTACCCCAAAAGATCAGCAGTTCTTGAAGGACCTCCGAACCAGATTGGAAAGTGATTGGCCTATGAAAAGGAACCACATCTTGGTTCCTGATAGGAGACTGGCCTTTCCCACTCAAAGCCTATGTGGAAACCAGGGGTAGGATTCTTCTCTGAGAACTGCCTGAGGGACATTGTAACATATGTATCTTGGCTAAATTTAAAGAATGCCAAAAAGATGTTTGAACATGTTTTATTGGTTATGGTATTCTCTCTCTTAAGCTTAAGTATGTTCATGGGAAGCCTGGATCTAGACCAAGAGGCTGTTATGTGAAAAAAGTGAATTAATACTACGTGGTCTAAATTTAAGAAATGTGTGCAACAGGACTGTATCCTTTCTCCATATCAACACAGTTGATATGCTAAGCAAATTATTTTTTAAAAAGATATGGCATCAGAATCATAGGAATATTCATCAAAGACATGCATTATGCAATGACACAAGCTTGCTTGCTATAAGTGAGAAGGACTATAACCTTCAATACGGATTGCATCTCAATGTAAAAAAAACAAAAGTTCTTACCACTGCACCAATAGGCAACATCATGATATATGGTGAAATGATTGAAACTTTCAACAGCTTCATCCTACTTGAATGCACACTCAACAACCTTAGTACCAGAATTCAGGAGACCAGGAGTTATATTGCACTGGGAAGTCTGCAGTTAGGGGCATGGCCAAATTACTCAAGAGTAATAATATCAGTTTGAAGACTAAGGAGCGCTTGATTCAAGCCATGGTCTTTTAAATCACTTGCTATGTATCTGAGAGCTGGACAATAAATAAGGATGACAGAAAAGTTAATGTCTTTGAACTGTGGTCTTGGAGAAAAGTAGTGAATATTCCATGGACTGCCAAAAAAACAAAGAGGAGTATCTTGGAGAAGGTGCAACCACAGTGCTCCCAGGAGGCAAAGATAACAAAGCTTTGTCTAACATAGTTTTGGCATGATGGTAGGATAGGCTATTCCTCAGAGAGGACAGCATGCTTGGAAAGGTAAAGCATCAGCAAAAAAGATAGACCTTCAACCAGGTCTACTGACACAATGACTACAGCAATGAACTCAAGTATGTAAGAAATGATGAGGATGCACAGAATAGGACAAGGTTCAGGTCTGTTCTTCTTAGGGTCACTGTGAGTCTTACTAAACTCAATGACACCTAACAAAACCAACTGCTTTTAGCCAAGATCCATATGACGTCAGCAATGATAACCCTTTATCATTTGTCAAGTGTCATAGCTTGCCTCTTCTGAATCCAGCTTAACTTTCTGGAACTTCCTTGTTGATGTACTATTCAGGTCATTTTAAAATAATATTCAGCAATATTTTACCTGCATGTGATATTAATGACATTGTTTGATAATTTCCAAATTCTGTTGGATCACCTTTTTTGGGAATGGTAACAAACATGAATCTCTTCCAGTCAGCCTGCCAGGTAGCTGTCTTCCTGAGGCAGTTCCATCAGTCCTTCCAACCATGGCATTTTTCCTCAGTCACAAGCTTAGGCAAATACCCTTGGCTCTGACTCCATGGGAGAGCAGTCATAAGTCAGCTCTTTCTCATATTATTGTCTGATTCTCTGCTGAGGCTGCTGCTGCTCTCACGTAGATCCTGGTCAGACTGTCATAAGAATCTCTGGCCCCAGACACGGGAATTGCACTCCCTGCTTCCTCTTCTTTAATGTAGTGAAATTTTCATTTTCACCGCTAAATTTGCTCAATTTAATATGATGGGATGGGAAGAACTGATCAATTCCATAAGGGTTACTTTATGTTGTTGTCATGTTGTACTGTACTGTTGAGTCAGAATCAACTCATACTTAAATCACCAGTGGGTTTTCAGAGAAAGTCAATGATAAGGGAAGAGATTGTCCCTGTTTCTTGCGCAGAACAGCTGGCAGATACAAACTAAGTGCAGTTGCTTAGCATTGGGCCACCAGAGCTCCATAGTTACTTTATGCACACCCGATTACCACTCATATGGTGAAAGTCAAGGCCAATGGTTAGGAAAGTCCTTTTGAACAGTAAATTCTGAGTTACAATAATGAATAGTATCTGCCTGAGTCCAAACCATAACTTCTTTCTTTTCCTGTCCATTGGTACAGGTAGAAATTTCTCTTATTCCTCACTGCCACTCCCACTACCAGCATTGGTCTAGAACAGGGGGATGCTCAGTCAGTCCTGAAGGTTATTTACTGGAGCAGAAAGGGCAGGAACAGTGACCTCTACTGTGACCGTTGCTGGAAATGCTTGGTCTTCTGACTACTCTGCAATGAGGAAAAGAAAAGTGCTGATTCTGACATTTTTCTCTGAATATTAGCTCTCTCTACACCACCTCATTTGTCCTGTCTCTTCTTTCCTCCTATCTAACTCCAAGAGACAGATGGCAAAGTTAGAGCTTAATGCAGTCTTTGGAAAAACGGAACTCTGTATTACTTATGTGGGTTTGAAGACAGATAAACATGAATTCTAGGAAAGAAAAATTAAAACTTACAAATAGAGAGTTGTTTAATATCATGGACTCAAGATGTTGTATGGAATGTGAATATTTCAAATAATGTTGAGTTCTGAACACTGGTTCAGTAGCCTTTGCTTTCTTCTGATTAGACTTGACTAAGAAGAGATGCTATGAGCAAAATCTTGAATGATCCCAAAAACATCAAAAGAAGATACAGAGAATACACAGAATCACTGTTAAAAAAAAAACTTGGCTGACACAGAAATATTTCAAGAAGTACAATACAATCAAGAGCCAATGAAATGAAGTAAGAATTTAAAGCTACAATGAAGGTGTTAGCAAAAACTCGGACTCCAGGAATCAACAGGATACAAATTGATGTATTACAACTATGTATGATAACAGACCAGCAGTCACCTGTTATGTATCAGAGAGTTGGACAATGACCAAGGAGGACAGAAGGAGAATTGATGTCTTTGAGCTGTGGTGCTGGAGAAGAGTATTGAGAATACCATGGACTACTAGGAAAACAAACAGATTTGTCCTGGAAAGGGTTAAACCGGGTGGCTCCTTGGAGGCAAGGATTCTGAGGCTCCATCTAACATACTTTGGACATGTTGTGAGGAGAGACCGGTCCTTAGAGAGGGACATCATGCTTGGGAGGGTGGAGGGACAGTGTAGGAGAGGAAGGCTCTCTATGAGGTGGATTGATTCAGTGACTGGGATAATTGGGATGGGAATGTCAGAGACAGTGTGATTGGCACAGGACAGAGCAGAGTTTAGGGCTGTTGTACATAGGGTCGCTATGAGTCGCAAGCGACTCGACGGCACATAACAACAACAACATGTCAAAAATTTTAGGATGCAAGTGAAACAACCCAAAAAGAGAAAGTAATAACAATAAAATGCTCTTCTTGAAAAGTTAAAAACTCTCAAATAAACTTCAACTACCACTCTAAGAGATAGAAAGAAGAGTATTTTTTATCAATTACGCGGAAACAATATTCACATTGAAAGAAATTATATATCCTTGCTTCACCTGAAGCTGTTAGGCCATAATCAAGAGAAATCCAATTAAGGGTCAGCTCTGTGTCAGTTCTGACTAGACTACAAAGAGTTTGATCTGTCCTGTTTATTTAAAGCTAAATATGCTGATTTGAATGGCTTAGAGATTAACAAGACATGTGTGTAGAGTTGCCTGAGCAAACAAGGTCAATGAACAATATCTCTAATTTGCCATCCAGCAGTCAGTAAGAATTCACTAATCTCCTGATCCTCACAGAAAAAGAAACAAAATGAGCACCAGCAGCACCGCAGGAAAAGTAAGCTATAAGGAATTTGTTTTTGGAGCTATATTTGCATTAATACAATTTTTTTAATCTACTATTTAATTATTTCAAGTTATACCTAAATTAGGAACAATGTCTAGAGACATAGACTATATGTTACATAGTCAATGCATGCTTGTTTATGATGGAAATCATCTATTCACATATATTGTGACAAGAAGGTCTATAGCATCAGTGTTCATTGCAATCTTTCATTCCTATATTGAATAAATGCTCTGTAGTCACGGTGATAGTTTACTCCAAGCAAATAATTTCTAAATCTAAAGTTCTAAGTGTGTTTGATCAAGAAATTACATTTTTTATTACTAAATTTTATTAGCTTTAATGAACATTTACAGGGATTTGGGGTTTTCATTCCTTCATTGCTGCACCATTCTCTCTACCCTCCTCCCCAGTTCGTT